GTAGCTCAAGTGGTAGAGCGCTGGCCTTGAGCTGAAGAGCTGAGGGACAGCGCCCAGGCCCAGAGTTCAAGCCCCATGACCGACCAAAAAAAAAACCTCTTAGGTCTGCTGGGTCTGTTGTTATCTCTTGTCCTATCTACTTTGAAGCTTTGATAACTTTAGCTGTTGTCTCATTATATCACTTTACCTTCAAGGCAAAGTAAAGCAGAATCAAAAAAATTCCAAAATATTCCTGGTATTTTAGTTGGGTTTCAAGAGAGTGAATGTTAATGTATGTTGAATTTTTCATATTCTAGAAATATAAGGTTTTGATACCTTGGAGAACAGTTATATGACAATTATGGTTTCAGAATAGGCACATTTCAAATAAACATTCTGAAAATTTGAATAAGGTTTTGATGGTTTTGCTTTTTGTTTAGTTTGGAGGGGCATATATACTAGAATCAAAATGTTTTCCTTAATTTGAAAATTACCTTGAAACATTTTACTGGCTTTCCCACATGTAATTGCCTTCATACAGTCCTTTTGCAGTTTTTAGTTCTTCTCAAATCAATTAGAACTTTTTATATTTTTGAGATAGAATTGGGGAAGATTGACTAGAAGGAAAAAATTTAATTTTTTTTCTTTTTTTTTTCTTTTTTTTAACCTACTCCAAAGATTGATCTCGTCTTTGCAAGACTGGCAATACAAACTATATCAGATAATTTAGATCTAAGAGATGACTCTCGCCTCAGAAGCCTTGATATAAGGTGTATTCGCAGCTTAAATGGTAAGCTTCTAAAAAGAAATATTAGGTATCTCTTTGAAAAGAATTAGACAAGTAGGACTCTTTTTGCAAAACTATTAATGGACTTTTGGGGGGAATTAACTCAAAAAATGATGTTGGTTGCATACGTAGTTCAGTGGTGGAATAAGAGAGAGCTTGTGTTTAATTCTCAGAAATAAAAAGATACATTTTTCTTTGTACATTTTTCTTTTCTTTACAGTCCTCAGTCTCTGCCTTTATATAAATTTGCATTTTCTAGACATTCCATATAAATGGAATCATGTGGTCACTTTTGCCTTTCATCTTCCACTTAATGTAATGTTTGTGAGCTTCATGCATATTAGTAATTATATTTTGGACTCTGGGTCTTATGTTTGCTGGACAGGTACTCTACCACCAACCCTTTTTCTCTTTTTAGAATATGGATTCTAAAAACCATGTCAAGGAAATTTTCTATTCAATCACATTAAATAGGCTGTCTGGTCTTTTAAATAGAACTTTTACCAGTGCATAGCTATTTGAAAAATATTGGTTCACAAAGCTATTTAGATCTTCCAAATTTTAACACACATTTCATTATAAAATAATTGTTTAGGGCTGGGAAGGTGGCTCAGTGGTAGAGTGCCTGCCTTGCATGCATGAGGCCCTGGGTTCAATTCCTCAGCACCAGATAAGCAGGAAAAGCTGGAAGTGGTGTTGTGGCTCAAGTGGTAGAGTGCCAGCCTTAAGCTGAATAGCTTAGGGACAGCACCAAGGCCCAGAGTTCAGGCCCCATGACCAACAGCAACAACAAAAAATTATTATTATTATTATTATTACTGTTGCATTCATTAATGTCACCACCAGTTTTTTCAGGAAAGTATTTATTAGAAAGTTTTCAAGTTCACAATGGCAGATAGAGTTTTCATCCAAAATTCTATGGAACTTGAAAGCTTAAATTTACTATTTACAATAAATGATATCATTTACTTTCCTTGGAGTTGCTCACTTAGTTCATATATTATAGAATATCTGATGAGTGCTTAACTGAATTTCCATCTTTTTCAATCATACTTTTAAGTAAAATTGATGTTCCATTAAAAAAAAAGGTCTAGCTAACAACTCAAATAATAACACATATTCTTGTCTACTTGAAGCTGTATTGTATATTGTACAGTTTGTTACCAATGTCTTAATTCACTGTTAAAATAATAGCACTTTTATCCACCATTGCTTTTGCACCATCAATGCAGATGTTAACATAGTGAAAAAGACAAGGCTGTATTAGTTTTTTTACATAAAATAGGTGCAACCTCACAGATCCTCAGGGTTTGAAGAACCACTGCTTTGTAATATCTTTTGGTTGATCATAGACCTTCCTGTACTTCCAGAATATAACAATAAATCATACTATTTATGGATGAAGTTTGTTTTGAACAGTTAATAGTCTTTTAACTTGGAGACATTTGATTAACAAGGTCAGATGTGGAAGAAAACCAAAATGGTACTCCAATTAATCTCTATTTAATATGAATTTAATTGGCCATTTTTTAACTTCTCAAGAACAAAATACTTTCTAATACAGAAGTACTAAATTTCAAATACTCAGACAAAATAAATTCTGCCATTTTACTCTTTCATTTTTTTAGTGTGAGCTAAGGGGGGAGGGGAACATTTGAATTAACTAGTTGATTTTATAGTGAAAAATGAATGTTTTATCTTTTTCAGGATGCAGAGTTACTGATGAGATTTTACATTTAGTGCCAAATAAAGAAACTTTTAGACTCACCCTCAGAGCAGTCAAATTATGGGCAAAACGCAAGTATCGCAAGTCTTTTATATGACATTATAAAATTCTAATGTTGAGCTGGGAAGGTGGCTCAGTGGTAGAGTGCTTGCCTTGCATTCCTGAGGCCCTGGGTTCGATTCCTCAGCACCACATAAGCAAAAAGAAAAAAGCCTGAAGTGGCGCTGTGGCTCAAGTGGTAGAGTGCTAGCCTTGAGCTGAAGAGCTGAGGGACAGCACCCAGGCCCAGAGTTTAGGCCCCACAACTGGACCCCCCCCCAAAAAAAAATTCTGTTATCCAGTGAAAGAGTTGCAGGCTGAGAGATTGCTGTTACGCATTTGGCCAGGCACTTTTGTCTGAGTCTGACTTGAATGCTACAGAGGATTAAGTCTGCAATGACAAAAGACTTGAGAGTAGTTATGTTGGAAGTTTGAAACAACTTATTTAACAATTTAGTCATTTACTAAATAAGATTAACAGCATTGTAGATGCCACTAGGTGTTCTACAAAGATAAGCAGTCCTAAAACTCAACACATACTCACACCATCTTCTCCTAACTTGAACATTCTATGGTTTGTCTTAATTTCTCCCTTCTGAGCAAACATTTTAAGACAATTCTTACTTTCTAAAATCTTTCTAAAGGAAACCATTTTTCTATTTCCTCAATTCTCTTTCCAAAGCCTTTCCTTATACTGTTTTATAAGCTCTGTCTTGTAAAACTCATTACATCCCACCCTTTTTTTTCTTACTTATCTCATTAACAACTTTGTTAGCAAGGATTTCTGGCTAATACAGCAGCTCAGTACAGCTGATGATAAACCTCAAGGTTGTCAATGAACTTCAGCAAAGTTTGTGATAAACTGCAAAGCTGTCAGTTTGGTAAACATACATGAGGGAGAGAGGTTGTTTTGCTTTTAACAAGGATAGAAAAAAGGCTTATGGAGACCACTGGCCATTTAATCGGAGAAACTTTGGCTGGAATGGAGGCAATTTAATGGCAAATAATCTCCAGTTTGGAAGTTATCAGAGAGAGAAATAGACAGAAAGAAGGGGGAGGGAGAGATGGAGCTTGCTACAAGACAAGGAAAGTTACCTTTCTTGAGGAGATGGCTGGGAGGCTTATGACAGAGAAGGACTTGGTGAGCAGGGCAAAAGAACATGGTGGAGGGCCTCTGTAGTGGAGGTCAGAGAAGGACTTGGTGAAACTTTATTAGGTTAGCAAGCAGAAAGACAAAAAGGCAGGGTAACACAGTTAACAATGTGGATATACTCAAGGAGAAATAGAGAGATGGTTTTAGCTATGGGAATTTAAGTCAGGGTGTCTAGCCTTAAGAGGAAACTTAGAGGAGGATCCCTGGAACCCAGCCTGTGTCTCAACCCTCAAAGACACAAGCAGAAAGGCAGAGGGAGGGCAGGGAGAAAGAGAGAGAGAGAAAGGAAAAGCCTGTACATAGATGATTTCCCTCCATTTGCCCAAGTGCTCATAGAAATTATGTTAAGTCCTGTAAAATATTGGGGTCCAGTGTCCCAAAAAGGGGTTACATGGACTCATTGTCCAGTGAATATTGGAGCCAAATTTGATTGTATAAGCATATAAGCCTATGAGGCTTAAGGTCAGGCAGGATCTTTAAAGTCTCCAAATTATGCAGCCTAGAGGAGAATTCTGAAGAATTTTTAGATGGAGCCCCTCTCCATTTAGATGAGTGTGGGGAGTTGATGCTAGAGCTTCCATGGGCCTCCCCAGAGGAACTCTGGTCAACTGATTGAGGGAGCAAGCAGCAAGAGAATTTGTCACCTGGCCGTTGTTCAATACCTGGCCTATCCTAGCCAGTGAGCAGCCTAGGCCTCCTGGGCTAGACTTGGAACTCAGTGCTGAGCTTTTATCCTTGTACTTTGAGCCATGAACTGTCACTTATCACGAAAGAGGGGTGAATTATCGGTGTCAAATGCAGGAAAGGCACTTGGTCTGGAGGAATTCACCTTGGTGGTTGTCAGGTCCCCAGGTCCCCAGGTCAGCTCAGATTCCCAAAGGGGAAGAGCAAAACTTACCAGGGGAGCCTAGATCTGAGTTAAGGCACCAATGACCACACAGACACCAAGGCACATACAGCAAAGTTTATTGTCAACAAGCTGACAGGCTGACCCTCCCATACAGGGACAGCACTTGTTCTTGAGCAAGGGGTTATATGGCTAGGGGGCTTGGAGTGGAGAATTTTACCAGGGGCAGGAGGGTACTCTACAGTCTGGTTTGTGTGAGACATGGAATTTGTGAGGTGCATGAGAACAGGGGATTTTGTTGTGGCTAGGCTAAGGTTTATGGTTGTAGCTGCCTGTGTCCCCTGATAAGATAAGGCCTGAGTCAGCTAATTTCAGGGAAGGGCCTGTGTCACAGATTTTAAGAAAGGCCATGCTTTACATCAAGGCCTAAGATAGTGGAGTGGCTCCTAAGACGGAAGAGGTTAAGCTACCACCTTTTACTGCTAGAGATCTCTTTTTCAAACTTTTTAAGAATCTCATTAAAGCTGTTTGCTGTGGCTCACACTTGTAGTCATAACTACTCAGAAGGTTGAGATCTGAAGATCGCAGTTCAGAGATGAGCCCAAGCATGGAAGTCCGTGAGACTTGCAGTGAAAGGATAAACTGAACAATTCATCTTTTCTTACAGGTTAAATACTGTTTTGTCAGTTTTTAAATGTATATTTTTCACATTTAACATGTCAAGAAATTACAGTGGTCTTTTCAGAGGCATAAAATAATGTCACTTTATATAAATGAGAGCATTTTAAATTTAGTGACATTGTAATAATTTTAATAGATTATAGTAGCCACAATTATGAAAAATGATTCTAATATTCTACGGCAATGAGAGGTATCCAAATTCTGTAAATCACTGAAGTTAGTTACCACCTTTATACTTGGTCTTGCTACCATGATTGTGATTACTAGGAAATGTTTATTTTTCTCATAGGATCTCCTGATGTTTCCGCCTTCCTTTTATTTTTCCCTCAATCCCAGATATTAAAAGGAGAATTTCAGTGTAATTTCGGAAATCTATTGTTCCGAAGCAGGTCACTGAAATATCTGTATCTGAGGGCAAAGTAGAAGTGGTTTACAAGTAAACTGGTTTACTAATCAATTATAAGCCTAGAATGAAATTTTTGCCCTTTGGTTTCAATGTTTTCAGAGAGAAAAAGTCTAAGGACAATCTTAAGAATGCAGTTATTAAAAGAAATGTACTCTTTACCTGACTTATGTAACTGTAACCTTCTGTGCATCACCTTTATGGTAACAATAATTTAAAAAAAAAGAAAGCGGTTATTATAGAATGCCACGAATAGTAGATTCTAACAGTAATTAGATGTTAATTTTGTAGGTCGTGGTATTTATTCCAACATGCTGGGTTTCCTTGGTGGAGTCTCCTGGGCCATGCTAGTTGCCAGAACTTGCCAATTGTATCCAAATGCAGCAGCATCAACTTTAGTTCATAAGTTTTTTTTAGTTTTTTCCAAATGGTAAGTATATGTACATATGTACTATATATGTACTTTGATTGTTGACTAACTGCTGCCTATATGTAAATTCATCTGGAAATTTAAAGGCTATACATAGACTTTCTGTTTTTTACATTCCTTAAGTTAAAAGTTTAAAATTTTACTAAATTTGAGGCAATTATGGAACACCTACATGACATGTTCTTTTTTTTTCTTTCTTTGTAAAATTGACACAAAAATTGTACATTTGTAAGGTACCATGATGTTTTGATACATATGGACATTGGATGTTATTCAAATCAGGGTAGGCATATGAATCTCCTCAAACATATTTTTTTATGGTAAAAATGTTCAAAATCTTTAAAAAAATTTTTTTCCTGGTCCTAGAGCTTGAACTTGGGTCCTGAGTGCTCTCCCTGAGGTTTTTTTGCTCACAACTAGTGCTCTACCACTTGAACTACAATTTCACTTTTAGCTTTTTGTTGTTAATTGGAGATAAGTCTCAAAGACTTTCCTATTCAACTTGGCTTGGCACTATGATCTTCATATCTGAGCCTTCTGAGTAGGACTATAGCTGTAAGCCACTGGCATCCAGCTTTTTAAAATTAAGTAGACAGTATATTCAACATAACCTATAGTCTGCCACCCCATCCTTGGCAACTACTATTATATTCTGTCCTTCTATAAGATCAGTACAATATATGATCATGTAGTTTCTGTCTTCTATGTTTGCCCTATTCCACTTTATATAATGACCTCTAGTTTCATCCATATTGTCAAAAAAGACAAGCTCTAGTCTCCTCCCCTCTCCCTTTTTGGGGTACAGGAATACTAGGAATTAATTACATTCAGGGTCTTTTTTTTTTTTTTTTCTTTTGGTCATGGGGCTTGAACTCTGGGCCTGAGCTCTGTCCTTCAACTCTTCTGCTCAAGGCTAGTGCTCTACCACTTGAGCTATGGCGCCACTTCTGGTGGTTTATTGGAGATAAGAGTTTCACGGACTTTCTTGACCAGACTGGCTTTGAACCTCAATCCTCAGATCTCAGCCTCCTGAGTAGCTAAAATTACAGGCGTGAGCCACCAGCGCCCAGCACATTCAGAGTCTTACACTTGCTAGGCAGGCCTTCTGTCACTTGAGCTAATACCTCTAGCTCCTTTTTGCATTGATTATTTTCAAGGGAGGTCTCCCTTTGCTCAGGTCAGCCTGTCTGTAATCTGCCTATTTATACTTCCCTGTGTCACTGGGGATAACAGGCTTACCCAGCCATTGTCCTGTTTTCATAGCTAAGAAAATAGGTACACACCACTGTACCTAGTCGAGATTGACTCTCATGAATTGGGTGTGGGTATATGTAAGCATATGCACTTGTACGTGCCAGTCCTAGGGCTTGAACTTCAGACCTAGGTACTCTCCCTATTTTTTTTTTGTTTTTTTCTCAAGGCTAGCATTCATAACACTTGAACCACAGCTCCACTTCTGGTTTTTTGGTAGCTAATTAGAGATAAGAGTCTCATGGACTTCCCTGCTTGGTCTGTCTTTGAACCATGATCTCAGCTTCCTGAATACAGCTAGGATTATAAGCATGAACCACTGGCACCTGGCCTCTCATGAATTTTTATGCCCAGGTTTGCCTTGAACCACCATACCCCTATCTCCACGTCCCAAAATAGTTTAATTAAATAGGCCTGAGTCACCAAGCCCAGCTTCATCCCATTTTTTTAATAGCTAAGTTGTGTGATACTTTCTTCCAGGGCTTATAAATACAACGGACTTTCGGGCTGGGAATGTAGCTTAGTGGTAGAGTGCTTGCCTAGCATGCATGTAGCCCTAGGTTCAATTCTTCAGTATCATACAGACAAAACATGAATAAAATTAATTTTTAAAAAGAAGAAAAAATATTTTAAAAAATATAGTGGAGCTTTAGTTTGAGTAATTATTATAGATTTGACTGCGCACATTCATCAACTTTGTAGAAGTTTTTTTTTTTCTTTTTTTTTTTTGGGTCCGGTCATGGGGCCTGAACTCTGGGCCTGGGCGCTGTCCCTCAGCTCTTCAGCTCAAGGCTAGCGCTCTACCACTTGAGCCAGAGCACCACTTCCGGCTTTTTTCTTTTTGCTTATGTGGTGCTGAGGAATTGAACCCAGGGCCTCTGGCATGCAAGGCATAGCGCTCTACCACTGAGCCACCTTCCCAGCCCCTGTAGAAGTTGTTTGAGTGGAAATGATAATCATAACTATGACATTGATTTGCTGGTATTTTCAACAAATGTTAGTTTTGCTGCTGCTAAATTATCAGAATTAAATCCATGAAAGTAAATGAGAAGGAAGAGATTCCGGTGCAGATGAATTACATAAGCAAAGTACTGTATTTGCCTTTTCAGAGATTACTACTTCAAAATAGCCTTATCCTTTTTTCTGGTGCCCATTTTTTTCTTTTTGATGTATGAAGATTAGAACTATCTAATGATTTTAGTATTTTGTGTAGCATGTCAAATGTGACTGTATATGAGCTAATTAGTCTTATTTGTGTTAGGGAATGGCCAAATCCTGTGCTCTTGAAACAGCCAGAAGAAAGCAATTTGAATTTGCCTGTCTGGGATCCTCGGGTATGTGACTTACTATGGAATTGTATTAAATCTTTTAGGAAGAAGGCATTTCTCCCATCACCATCTAAAGATTCTTATTCCTTCACTTTGTTCTGTATGGCGATTATACTTTATTTGCCATATTTTTGGGTTCAGATGACTTGGATCTCTAATGCTGATGAAATGTTACGTCACTAAAAAAATCATATAAGACTAGCTGAGTGGGATAAACCATCAACAATATCATAATCCATTGTAGAAAAACTGCCTAATAATTACTTACAATAAGATATATAAAAATTTTATTTTTCAATGAAGTTTAAAGCAGATTCATAGTTCCAGAATAGCATAATTCTTATATATGTATTGAATTTAATTTGGTTATAGAGTGAATGGTCATTCCTCTTCATAGACAAGGGAAAGCCATCACTGAAGTAGTGCAGAGAAAAGATTGAATGCCCTAAGACTAGATAATCCTTTTAGTAGTTAATGATAGGATATTTTCTTGATTCTAAAAGACCATTGTTTATAATACACCATCAATTTAACAACTTTTCCAAGGAAAAACAAAGTGCAATCCTTTTGACTATGACCATCTGACAAGAAAGAAATGTAGTTGGGGGAAGAAAAATACACTTCTTAGAATTGAGTTTATAAACTATTAGATTTATATTTCATTCTTCAAACCTTTAGGGAAATGAAATAAGGACACCTGAAATAAGATATTAATCATTCCTCTTCTAATTTCACAGGTAAATCCATCAGATAGATACCATCTCATGCCCATAATCACCCCTGCCTACCCACAACAGAATTCTACATATAATGTATCCACATCAACTCGAACAGTAATGGTAGAAGAATTTAAACAAGGTAAACATACTGACCTTATTACCCTTTAACATATTCCCACAAGATTTTGGTTAACAAGTTTCTTTTGCAACTATAAATTGGCAGTTGGAATTTCTAAATTAAGCCAGTTTGGTGTGGTTGAACTTAATTTATGTGTCCTAAGAAGTATCATATTTATATTTTGTAAGTCAAGAACTTGTTGGCTTCTGCTCATAATGTAGCTACTTGGGAGGCAGAGATCATCAGGAAGATTGAGGTTGGAGGCCAGCCCAGGCAAAAAATTTCAAAGAGCCCATCTTAACTAGTAATGGGGCATGATGACACACACTCATCATCCTAGCTGTGCAGAAAACTAAGATTAGGAGGACTGTGGTTCCAGGCCACTTGGGAAAAGACATTCATAGGACATCCCATCCCAACAGAAATTTTTTTTTTTTTTTTTATGTCGGTCATGGGGCTTGAACTCTGAGCTTGGGCACTGTCCCTCAGTTCTTCAGCTCAAGGTGAGCGCTCTACCACTTGAGCTACAGCACCACTTCTGGTTTTCTAGTGGTTTATTGGAGATAGGACTCTCATGGTCTTTCCTGCCCAGGCTGGCTTTGAACCGCGATCCTCAGATCTTAGCCTCCTGAGTAGCTAGGATTATAGGCATGAGCCACCGGCGCCCAGCTAGAAAAAATATTCTAAGTTCCTATCATCCCAGCTAGAGGTGGAAGTGTAAGTAGGATCAAGTCTAGGCTGGCACAGTCATAAAATTGAGATTCTACTTCAAAGAGAACCAGAGAAAAAAGACTGGGCATGTGGCTCAACTGGTTGAGTAATTTCCTGCTAATATGAAGCCCTGAATTCAAACCCCAGTTTTGCTGGAGTGTGGTAGGAGGTATGTGATTTTCTGTTGATGTTAGGATAGAGTAATACACATGTTGCTCAATTTTCAAAATTCGGACATGTTTCTGTTAATGTTTTTGTTTAGGTCTTGCAGTTACAGATGAAATTCTTCAAGGGAAATCAGATTGGTCCAAACTACTTGAGCCACCAAATTTCTTTCAAAAATATAGGTATTTGAAATTTTGTCTTATGTGTATGCATGTATGAGCCATTTACTGTATTTTAAGCCAAAACATACTTTTTAGAGATGTTTCTCACAAATTAAGGAACTCTTAATTACAAGTTACAAAAAAATACTTTACCTATTGGAAAGTACTGTAACTAATGGATTCCAGAGTTATTGGTTTTCAGTTCTTCTGAAGTACACTGTTATTTAATATGCAAAGCTTTTATAAAAAAAAATACCAGAGCTAGCTTTTCCTATAGGAGCCGCAGGGATAAGAGGAACATCACCCTCGACTCTCCTTTCCATGGCATGTACTCATCCCATTACCAGTGTACTTCGGAAAAGAGGAGTCATCTGGCAAAAATGTCACTTTACCTGCCATGTTTAAGGCTCTCATTTGACCAGATATTGTAAACTATGTTCATACGAACTTGCATAAAAACAGCAGGCACCCCTATGCTGTCAGTGAGTTAGCAGGTCATCAGACGAGTGCTGAGTCTAGGAGTACAGGTAGAACTATGGCTCATATTCCCAGATTGTGAGGTGGTGGGAACCACTGTTTGGGCCAGGGGTGCCTTTGGAAATATGTGTCAAGGAGGTCATATTTCCACCAACCAAAACCTGGTGTTGTTAGCAACCCAGAAGCAGTATGCCATCTGTTCTGCCCTGGCTGTCTCAGCGTTACCAGCTTTGGTCATGTCTCAAGGTCATCAAACTGAGGAAGTTCCTGAACTTCCTTTGGTAGTCAAAGATGAAGTTGAAGGTTACAAGAAAACCATAGAGACTGTTTTGTTTCTTAAGAAACTGAAAGCCTAGAATGACATCAAAAAGGTCTATACCTCTCAGCAAATGAGTGTGGGCAAGAGCAAATGAGAAACGATCAGTAGAACCAGCGCAAGGCCTTCAGGAACATTCCTGGAATTACTTTGCTTAATGTAAGCAAACAGAACATTTTAAAACTTGCTCCTAGTGGCCATGTGGGGTGTTTCTGCATTTGGACTGAAAGTGCTTTCTGGAAATTTGAATGAATTGTATGGCACTTGATATAAAGCTGTTTCAAGAGTAACTGTGACCTCCCTCTGTGCAAGATGATCAATAAAGATTTCAGCAGAACCTTGCAAAGTCCAGAGATCCGAAGAGCCCTTACAGAATCATGCAAGAAGATTCATTGTAGAAGAACCTACTGAAAAACCTGAGAATAATGTTGAAATTGAACCCATATGCAAAGACCTCCAGAACACCATTCTTTGCCAGACAAGAAATCCCAAAATCTAAGTGAAGAAAGCAGCAGCACTCACAGCCAAATTAGATGAAAAGGCAGCTGCAGAAAAGGGTGCTTGAGAGAAGAAGCCTATGGTGAGTAAGAAAGGAACGAAGGCTGCTGATGTTAAAAAGCAGAAGCAGCCTTAGGGGAAAAGGCAGCTGCTACCAAGAAACCAACAGCTGAAAAGAAACTTACCACAGAAGAAAAGAAGCCTGCTACATAAACTGTTAAAATCTACTTAATGACATAAAGGCCAAATAGTATGGAACAGCTTAGTTGAATAAAGACAGGATCAAAGATGCAGTGAGAAACATTTTTTAAAAAAATCTAGTTATTTCCTGAAATGGTACACAAGCCTTGAAGAAGGCTACTTTTGGCTACATTTAGAGTTAATAAATGATAGGTGACAGCTATTACTTACATTTTGTAAGCAAGTAGAGAATAATAGAAATCCTAAGTGGTAATAGAGTTTCTTTATTCTACAAGTAGATTCCAGTATTAAGGATTTTACTTAATTATAAGGTGCAAAATTTTGTGAAAATTAGAACATACTTGCATTTTCTTAAACTGCATGCTTGTAATACTCTTCTCATTGGAAAGAAGGAAATATGAATGATGGAAAAATAGTCTTAATAGTTTTTTTCTGTTGTTTATTTTGTTTTTCTGATTGTTTCTGCACATTCTTCACAGACATTATATAGTATTGACTGCCAGTGCATCAACAGAAGAACACCATCTAGAATGGTAAGCTTACATTTCAAATTATCTGCCTGTGCCTAGTTATTAATTATTTATTTATATGGTGCTTTATCACTTAAAGCAGTTTTTTGCTCGTTTTCATATTATTTATCTTATTGGTGACATGTACATGTACATGTCCATGGAGCATTCAGGGACTACAAAATGTTATCACATTTGTATTTCAGAATCATGTGGGACCTGAGGTATCTTTACATATGTACACATCATGCTTATTGCTTTCAGAATGAGACTAACAAAATTTTGAAGTAGTCTGAATGATCCTGACACCCAGTTTCTTAATTTTATCATTGTTTTGTCCAAAACTCAAGACATTTTGTATATCCTTTTTTTTTTCTTTTTCTTCGTGCCATTCTTTGGGCTTGAATTCAGGGCCTGGGCACTGTCCCTGAGCTTTTGTGCTCAAGGTAAGCATTCTACCACTTGAGCCACAGCTCTACTTCTAGCTTTTTGGTGGTTAATTGGAGATAAGATTTCCATAGACTTTCCTGCCTTGCTTGGCTTCAAACCATGATTCCCAGATCTCAGCATCTTGAGTAGGTAAGATTACAGCCATGAGCCACCTGCACCTGGCTTGTATAAATCCTTTCAATTTAAGAGACAGTTGAATTAGAAAACAGATAAGACATGTTTAGGACAAGAAGCAGCATATCCATTCTAGTGAAATCTAAACTTGTTCCTTCTAATATAGTCACATACCTGGACCAGCTATTAAGCCACCAGAGATAGTTATCCTTTTCTTGGGTCTGACTTTAGGAAAAAAAAAAAAAGCATAATACTGTCTTACTGTTACTCTAAAGATGTAATCCTGTTTCACTGATAATAATTCTTTTACTGAAACAGTATTTAATATGTCTAGGTTGGCTCAAGTTTTAGTGGAACACAAGAATGTTTGTTCAATAATATGTTGTCTGACTATTTCCATGCTTCACAACAAAGTTGAATAGTTAAAACAGAGACAAGCTTAAAATATTCAGTATTTGGCCCTTCACAGAAAAACATTGCCAATTTTCATTTAGCTAACACTACAATAACTCAGATATATACATATGCTTTTATATACATATATATGCTTTTATATGTGTATATAAATATATGTATATATGTCACTATATACATGTTGAAGCATACAATGTTGTAAGCTTTTTCTGTTTGAGAAAATTTTAGTGTTCTTGACCTTATTTTACATCATTAAGTCACTAGTAAATTTGACAGTCACATTTAAGTGAGGTAGAAAATGACATTGAAGCAATCTGATGAAATTTTTTCCAATGTCTGATTTGAATTTTGTGCAAAGCATAAATTTATGTTCCAGTTGTTAGCAACATAAAACTTCAAAATAGAAAAAAAGATTGAAGATCAAATTAACCAAAATTTTTGTTCATGCCCAATCAAGATTTATAGTGTTACCAAGACAGACAGGGTATTTTAGATTGACACATGCTTTGTGTAGATCAGTTTTTCTAAAAACACACAAAAAGTTACTAAATTTATCACTTGGTTGGTATTTTGAAGAGTACCTACTATAATTGGGCTAGCTTTTTTAAATAAATGTAAATTCTCATAGTTGATATGCTGTTTGATTTACTTCAATGTGGTTTCCAATTTTGATGTGGTCATAAGAAAAATCTTGCTTGTTTGTTTTAGGGTTGGATTAGTAGAGTCTAAAATCCGTGTACTTGTTGGAAACTTGGAACGGAATGAATTTATTACTCTTGCCCATGTGAATCCCCAGTCATTTCCAGGAAATAAGGAACACCATAAAGAGTAAGTTGATTTTAATACGTGTTTCTTAAACAATGTTATTAGCATATGCATTATTTCAGATTAGTTGTGAGATTGTCATTAAAAAAGGCCTTGACAGGGGAGGATGTAGTACATGTTTGTGTAAGTGACCATTGGTGAAAAATAAGTATGTACTACTTCAATAGCCAATAGACTCCAGCACCTCCATTACAATATTTAGAGCATCTATAAGAATATATTCAGAGAGTCATTTTCAGGGCCACTTAATCCTCGTTAGACCAATACAGAGTATCAGTGATCTGGATGGTAATCTTTAAGAATATGGCCAAATCACTGAAATCTCTATTAATGAGATAGAGACATTAGTAACTAAGTTTTAATTACCAAATAGAATCTGTAAAATTATAAAAACAATTAATGGAAATTCTTAAATTTTACTTTATAGCAACAATTACGTATCAATGTGGTTCCTCGGGATAATTTTTCGGAGAGTAGAAAATGCAGAAAGTGTTAACATAGACTTGACATATGATATACAGTCATTTACTGATACAGGTAAGATTTTGTCATCATAGAACTGTGATTCTCAACTTTGGCTGTAACTCAGCATCATCTGTCTAGGATCTAGCTGGCTATATATTTTCAAGTCCCACAATTGGTTAAACGAAACAGTGTATCCATATTGTGGAGGTCTGTGCTGCTGTTAAAATAATGAAAAGCATGATTATGCAATTGCTAAGACATATTAAGGGAATTATAGAACTATATGTCTAGTGTGCTTCCATATATTTAAAGGGAAAACACACACACACACACACGTTTACTTAAAATGTGTAGAACACCTCAGAAAGGATACTTAATTTTAAAAAATAAAATAAAAAGCATGGCAAAGGCAGTTGCTTCTAGGTTAGGGAACCAGCCAATGTGTCCAAGGAACGGGGTGAGGAGACTTCTGTAAATACTCAAACTCTTTTGAGTTTTGTACCATTTAACTGTATTACCTGTTTTAAGCAGAAAGAAAGCAAATTCCACAGGTGATTGTGTATGTGTGCACAGCCAGGGATTGTAATCACAGTCATAAAGATGACTTGATTTTTGTTTTTTTATATGAAAAAAAATCAGTAGATAGTCTTAACTTGAATACATTTCAATGATAAGAATATCTTTCACCTAGCTCCCAATCACAGCTCCCTGGAACATTTTAATCATTTATAAGTTTAGGCTTGTATTAATCTGGAATAGTACACTCCCCGATAGTTACTATTAGTTCTTCTGAGTTTCTAGCCTTTTTGGAACTAGCCTTCATATTTATCATGATAATATATTTCCCTAAGCTTCAGCTTAAAACTGCTAAATTATACTTTGGAAGAAGAACTCAAGAGTATCTGCAGTTTGAACAAGCACTGCTGATCATTATAAGTAATCTACAATAAAAACATAGATATACATTTTTCCACTTTAATTAGAACTCAGTTTTTTCAAAAAGGTGGTTGAAATACTCTATTTACAATAGAATTCTAAAACATTGTGTTCCAGATGTGGAAAATTGTGGTGTAAAGGATTAAATAATTGACCATTTTCACAAGTAATTGTTATGCAAAACAAGCCTCAGCATCCCTGCTTTCAGAGTACTTACTTTCTAATTGAGTATTCACAGTTAAAATATATTAATCTGTGTAAGAATTAATATAACTGGCCCATAGCAAGTTATAAGAAGCACTATAGAATGAGAATTTAGAGCTATTTGTATTATGATCCAGGCAAGGTGTTAAGGCCTGTTGATTCACCTTTTTCCACCTATACTAAAAATATACCTATAAAGTTTTTGGAATCTTAGATTCTGTGATTGATGTGTGCTACAAAAGTAAAAGAAACAACATGGAAGAGGGAGAGCTGTTATTTGCATCTTGGATATTTGGTGTAAGAATTAGTTTTTTAATTTATACTTTTTAAAGTATCTTTTAAGTAGTTGTACAGAGGAGCTTGCCATTTAACAAAGCAACAACATGAATACAATGTATCTTGGTCAAAGTCACAACTGTCAACATTCTTACCCATCCCTCCCCTACCCACCTCTTCCCTTACTCTTAATTTTGTAGGATATATATTGGATTTTTCTGCATTTTCCCCCTCTTCTCCTGAGAATTAGCTTTGCCTTGGGCAAATTATTAGGAGAAGAGTTTCCCTTTGGAGAAAATTAATAAGTCAAGATTTGGAGAAAGCTTTTGGGGGATTTGGAGAAAGCTTTTGAATAGGATTGTGGCATTATGAAAGTGTTTTCGAAATACTTGTAAGACATGTATCTGTATTTGTATATGTGTTAGGGGAAATACTGAAGGTATATGCACTCCAGAAAAAGAGAACTTCTTGATTCAGAAGTTTCCCATTTAACATATTTACATTGTTACAGTGTACAGACAGGCAAACAATATAAATATGCTGAAGGATGGAATGAAAATTGAAGCAACTCATGTAAAGAAAAAACAACTTCATCACTACCTTCCAGCAGAGATTCTTCAAAAGAAGAAAAAGGTGAGTTTATAATCTTAACTCACTCATAGTTCCACTCATGCAAATGATCCTGGGACCACATTTTAATTTATATATTTTCCAAATCTATTGAGAAAAAGAGAAAAGATGTAGACAATTCAGTCTTAGGACTAAAATCTTTAGCTTCAGTAATCACAAGAAATAATTTGCTTAAATGCACTTTAGAATTAAAGCTAGACTTTTTATTCTTAGGTGCTTTTTGAAATTCTAATAACTATTCTTTCTTTCAGCAAAGTCTCTGTGATGTCAGTCGAAGTTCAGGTGGATGTCAATCCAAAAGATTATCTCTGGATAGCAGTTGTCTGGATAGCTCCAGAGATACTGACAATGGAACACCTTTTAATTCTCCGTTGTCTACAAACAAACCTTCCAAACCAGATAGCCCTCCTGGAGAAACAGAAAGGTGTGTATATCAAAATACTACTTTCAGTCTCCTGTTCAGTTATTTATGAATGATAGGGACTTTTCCATAACTTGGCTAAGTACTTGACAACCTGTTGTAGAGCTGTGGGAGAGAACATGAATGAGGTTCAGAGCATGTAGGAACCAAGTATAAAAAAACAGATTTTGTGCTTAGATTTTTCTGCTAATTCTCATTGAGACCTCTACCTTTCTCTCCCTTTCCTTCATTGAATAAAATAACAGTACTAGAAAGAAGTAATTCTATGTTTAAAGCTTTTAAAAATAAGGAACATTTAAATCATTTAATGATTACCATTTGACACTTTTATTAGGACTAGTGCTGAGCCTGCTAGTATAATTGTGGAGAAGCCACTGCATGTCCCACCAGCTCAAGGACTATCTATTCCAGTCATTGGTGCAAGTAGGTATCTAAGCTTCCATTATTAATTATTTAATTTTCACAAATATTTAATTATTAAAATTGTTTTTCTCCTTTTCAGAGGTTGACTCTACGGTAAAAGCTGTATCGACCCCAGCTGTGTGTACCATTCCTACTGTAGTAGGACGAAATGTCATTCCTAGAATCACAACATCCCACAACCCTACCCAGGGACAACCACATCTAAATGGAATGTCAAATATAGCTAAGAATCTTATACCCAAAAGATCCCATTCCCCGTCCATAGATGGAACTTCTAAGAGGTTGAAAGATATAGAAAAGGTAAAGTTAAAACTTCAGTAGTGAGTCTATACTTTTTATGTTAAAGTAATAGTAGAAAAACTCAAATTTGCTGTACATATTTTAGTTTTCCGTAAGAAGTTGACTTTAGAGGACAATATTTATTATCTTTAATTAAAATTACTGATGGGTCTGAATTTTTATTTATTTTGTTTTTGGTGCCCATCCTGGATGCTGAGAACTTAGAGGCTTAGGTGTTGTTCCTGAGATTTTATGCTCAAGGCTAGTGCTCTACCACTTGAGCCGCAATTCCACTTTCCTTTTTTGGTAGTTAATTGGAGATAAGAGTCTTACAAACTTTAAACCTGATTGGCTTCCACCCACAGTCCTCAGATCTCAGCCTCTTGGGTAGCTATTGTGAGCCATTGGCACCAGGTGAATATTTTAATGATTGATCTAAGTTTCTCCTCAATTCACACAAAAGTCACTATTGGTAACCCAATTATGTCATTTCTTGAATATTAGGTATTTCCAGTAGGGGGTAGCAAAACTTTTTTTTTCCTTAAACTGAATTGATTTTAAAATAAAAATGTAAAATTTTAAATGTAAAATTTTAAATTAAAATGTAAAAATTAAGAACAGTGGTTAAATTCATTCTAATTTAAATTGTAATAAATTAAATTTTAGTAGTTTTTTGTTATAATTTCCCAGTTTACATAAATTTCTATGATCTTTGCAGATACATAATAGCAACTTTCTTTTAATGTTTATCATCTTAGTTTATTCGACTTGAATCAGCATTTAAGGACCCCCGTGTTGCTGAAGAGAGAACAGGAAAATCAGTGGTAAATACATTAATAATATGTTTTTAGAATATTTACTTTTAAAGATTAGAAAAGCACTTTTAACTGTTCACCAGTGGCTGATTTACTAAATAGTAATCCTAGCTACTCAGGAAGGCTGAGATCTGAGAATCACAGTTTGAACCCAGCCCACTCAGGGATCCTCTTATCTTTAGTTAACCACCAAATGGCCAGAAGTGGAACTGTGGCTCAAGGGGCAGAATGTCAGCTTCTAGTGAAAAAGCTAAGGGACAACACCTATACCCTGAGTTCAAGCCCTAATACTAACACAGTAAAACACTTTATTTAGAAAGCAAGTCAGATCAGGTCTGTCAAGTTTTCATTATGGTTTAAGTATCAGTGTGTTGCATATAGTAAAGTTTAAACTTGTATATAATTATTCTTTTCTTAGGATACTATTGGAGGAGAATCTATGCCTATTCCAACTATTGATACATCACGTAAAAAGGTAATAAGTCTTATTACATAGGTTAAAATGAGTTTAAAAAGACATATTAAGAGCGTAACATGGGAAAACAAAAAACAATAACAACAAAAAACCTTTGTCCCTGTTCTCAAGTCCTAGTAGTATATTTACCCTTAAGGTTGGAGGTAGCAAACAAATTGTATAGTCTTGAACATTCATACATCAAAGGGGAGAGTAGCTTAAAAAGGCATCATGATTTCTTTATATTCATTCCTGTTTTTTGTTTCTAATTTTTTTGGCGTTTTTTGTTGTTGTTTTTGTGCAGGTCCTGCTTTAACTGAGATCCTAGACTATGCCTGAGCTTTTTTGCTCAAAACTACCACTATACCACTTGAGCCACAGCTCTACTTCCAATTTTTTTGGTGCTTAATTGGAGATAAGAGTCTATGGACTTTCTTGCCCAGACTGGCTTCAAAGGGTGATCCTTGGATCTCAGCTTCCTGAGTAGCCAGGATTACAGACATGAGCCATTGGTGCCAGCGCATACCTTGTTTTTATTTATCTGTAGAGGAAAACTTGGTTACTAAGAACAGGAGTTTCTTACAGAAATGAAAATTTAGCTTTTGTTCTGTACACTATTGTCAAGTGAAGCATTATTTCATTTGAATATTAGAAATCATACACATTAGAGTTTGGAGGAACCACATGTAGTGGTGCATGTCAAAAAGCCAGGCATTGATTGGTAACTTGTGGAGCTGGTGGCTGGTTCAAGCCCCACAACCTACAAAAAAAGTAAATAAGCAAAAATTTTAAAGCATAAGCTGGACAGGTGGCACATACTCATAGGCCCAGCTGTTCTGGAGATAAGAGGATCATAGTTCAAAGCCAGCCTGGGCAAGAAAGTGCATGAGACTCTTAACCACCAAAAAGCCAGAAGTAGAACTGTGGCCCAAATGGTAGAGTAATAGCCTTGAGCGAAACTGTTACCCTATCAGGTTCCCCAGGATGTATTATTGGTCCTTATAAAGCAGAATAATAGCCTCATAGTCTGTCAGTTACAGAATTTGTAAACACAAGATTGAGTGACAAAAAAAAATGTTGGTATATAACTATACTAATTATATGTAAGAAAAAACTGAGGTACATATTAAAATATAAAGATGAAATATCATGTTTGGGCTTTAAAGTATTTCAAGTATAAAGAGTAAGTATCTATCACACAAGTCATGGGACTTGAACTCTGGGCCTGGGCACTGTCCCTGAGCTCTTCAGCTCAAGGCAGGCACTCTGCCACTTGAGCCACAGCACCACTTCCAGTTTTCTGGTTAATTGGAGATAAGAGTCTCACAGATTTTCCTGCCTGGCCTGGTTTTGAACTGCTATCTTCAGATCTCAGCCTCCTGAGTATCAGCTAGGATTACAGGCATGAGCCATTGGCACCTGGCACAAAATTAATTTTTTAGGAGTCTTTGTTTCTCAGTTTCTTAGATTTGCCTTTCCTATATAATTATTTTATTGTTCTCAGAATTCCTCACACAGTAAAGTCACCTAGCCAGACTTCAGGAAAGTTATCTCAAAATTGGGTTAGTGTTCTCCATGAATGTATTACAGACACTAGTTGAGGGCTATAACTTGGCTATTAAGCCTTCCTTTGTAACACTAATTTTTCCTTTCATGCCTATGAGTTTCCTGTTCTATCATCATGAGCTTCCTATTTCTCAATGCCATCCTCTAGCATAAAGGTGGCAACACTGGAGGTTTATTTATGCATTTTTAAATCCAGGAATGGTGGTTGAGTTAACAAAGTCCTTTTTCCTGTTTATATTCGTACCTATGCTGCTTCCCTTGTCCCTGTTCCTGCTTTTCAACTTTTTAACTATTTTAAAAGTTTCAAAAGCAAGAAATGTGAACATCAGAAGGAAGTACTTAAAACACACTTTAATATTTAGGAGCTTAAGAGATACAAAAGAAAAAAGAAAAACACCTTAAGAATAATTCTGTGGCTGATTTATTAGATTAATTTTGTGTGTGTAGATAGATAGAGACTCGTTAACCATTTTTTCTGTTTCTTTTTAATAGAGACTACCCAGTAAAGAACTACCAGATTCATCATCTCCAGTTCCAGCAAATAACATACGTGTTATCAAAAATTCCATTCGATTGACCCTTAATCGGTAAAAGCAGTATCTCCTCACTTATGTGAACATGCAGTCAGATAGTGGCATAGGTGCAGCTACTTTTCAAAGTAGAAATGGCTGCCATCCATAAAATAGGTGAGTTACAGTCTTCAGTCTAACAACCTTGAAGTGGTTTTTGAACTCACTTTGACCTACAGATGCTGTAGCATTCCCTCGCTGATTGCTACACACACTCGTCTGAGGATCACCTGCTACCAGATTGTCATCTACAACATGCATTTGGAGGTTTTACTGCCTTAACTTTTTGTTTGTTTCTCTGTTATGGGAGCCAGTTCTTGGCCACTTGGACACTGTTATAAAAAGTCCTGAACCATTTTTTCTTTTTCTTTTTTTTTTTTAAGTCTTATGTTGTAATCATTGTATAATGCTGAAAAAGCAGAAAACAAAAAAAAAATTCTCTTGTAATTTTCTAAGTATTAATGTGTTTACTTTAACATTGATGCCAATTTGTAAAACCTGAGATTAATGAATGTGAGATAATTTTTTTTGCTTTTTTCATTTGTGTAGATGTACTGTCCTGTTGTTTTAAATTATTATTTTCCAGATTGGCATATGGAATATTTATTTTTTTGTACTTTTCTGTCCAAATATTTGCATCATTACCAGGGAGATTAGTCCAGTGATTACAAAAGAGTTGGACACCATAAATTCTCTATTTTTTGCCTCCCATGGAGGCCCTAAAAATGCATCTTTATTAAAAATCAAAATGTAACCAGGATACTGAAAGTCAGTATATGAATGGTGAAATTATTCCATATTCTATTTCATGCCATTCTTGTTAATTGGTATTTTATATTGAGGAACAACTCATTTTACCATCAGTGGTAAGATATCTTTAAAAGATGGCCAACTTGTATTTTTTGAGGTGTAAAATTCACTCAGCATGATAATACTGACCATAACTTACCCCACAACTCCACCAACAGTTTCTTCAAAGACTAGGCATGCAGAAATAAGCAGTGGAATTTATTGAAACCTAAAGGCATTTTTGGATGACACTGTTACCAACCATCAATTGGCTCAGGTCCTTTGTAATTTTTATTTAACTATGAGTTGTCCTTTTTTACACTGCTTTTTTCAGTGCATTTCTTAATATTTTTTAAGTTTCATGAATGCATGCTGTTTATTAAAATCCATAACCATGTAATTCTTGTAATATGTTGATTCAGTGTTTTGTAAATGAAGTCGTATGTATTTTCAGAGTATTTTTGTATGTACTGTAAGATACATCTTTTCAAAGAGAAACGTTTAAAATCTTTACTGTCTATCTTTAGTCTAATTTTTTAATGTGCATTATACTTGAATTATATTTAAAATGAAAATTTATAGAATCACAGTCAGGAGTGCCAGAATATATTAACTTCTTCATCTCTTATCCAGCAGTTAGTAGGTCCAGCAGGAAAAACACAAGTGGTACATTTTGTGAGGGGGAAATACCTGGATGTTTGCTTTATTGGACTCATGGGATGCCATCTAGTTCATGCAGGTACAGAAATCTGTTTTACTTGCAAACCCTTTACCTTTGAGTTTAAGTTCTTGAATTCAGGTTGTCAGAGTGTAGTACTATCTCTTTTCCACTCCTTTTTCTTGACCCCAAAGTCTCTGATGTGAAAATTCTTAAGTTTTAACTTTTACAAAGGAAACATAAAGAAACGAAGAAAAGCAATGAAAAAAAAAAAAAAGATTGTTCTACTATTCATTTTTTACACAGCAGCAAAAGACAAGAATGAAATCTCATCACAAAGATACAGCTTCTGTTTAGCCAACCTCTTTCTTAAATTCAGATATTTTGCATTTGTTCTATAAGTACTGTATTTGAACAAAAGTAAACCTAGGACCTAATAATTGTCATATAACTTTGAATTCTGAAAATTTATTTGGTAATGGATTTGATTAAATTTTATATTTTTGATACATATACATTTGTATATTTCGTATCCTCTGCTTTTAAATCAGCCTTTACAGTCTCTTAAGAATTCTTTATGTATCCGTAAGGATACTGTTTTGGAGTGATGAGTTTCTTCTTCAGGAATAAACAAGTCTAGTCCTATACTATCATAGAGTCATTTCTCTTGGATTAAAGTTTCATTCACCATGCTATTCAGACATCGTCAATAATTGAACATCAGAATCATTAAAGACATTATTATTCAACCTACTTGGCAACTTCTGAGTTAATCAGCTGCTTTAGAGATGGTAGGTTTGTTCTGAAAGGAAGTGTTTTCCTATAATGACCAGTAGAAAGGACTTTCATTACATTTCATTATCATAGTGGGAGGCCTGTTTGATTTGTTCCAAGTAAAAGGAGAAGATAGGGCGTAGAATTAAATGTTACATTCAGAGGTATTAACTACATGTGTTTCATACTTGTTTCAAGTGTGAAACTATAACTAGAAATATATTCTATGAACTCAGCCCATTCTTTAACATAGACACATGTTGTTTTCATAAAGAATTAATCTGCTCACTTTTAAAAGACTGGTTCTAGAAAATGGCATATATCAAAGGGAAAAAATAGTTATATGTTGCTTTAAACTTCAAAAACAATTTGAGACCAAAGGTACTATGATAACATCTTGTAAAACGGGGGCAGGAAAACAAATTTTCAAAGTTTATATTGGTGCTAAAAAAAGACTTTTTTTCCCTTAAGGCAGCCATTTGTTAGTATTATTTAAATGCTTACTATGGTAACAGTGAAAATGGCAGTGTCAAAAGGGCTAAAATTAACTTTTCACTATGTTCTACAGTTTTGAAATAGGAAATCCTAACTTGAGGATCATGAATCTTTAGGAATTCCTTTGTATCATTATATATGTTTTTATTTATATGCAATTCTAGAGGGAAGTTCATAACTTTCATCAGTGATTCATGACCTCCAAAAGGGGAGCAGAGTAGGAACCACCAGAATTGAACAGTCCTAGAATATTAACAGTTTTCGCCATTCGATTTCACTGCAGTATATTTCTAAAAATGTACTGTAGCTCTTAACTAATAAAAGGGGCTGGTACAGTTTCATAAACATCGTGTTTCTAAGGTTCTTTATAGACTTCAGATGAAAAGGCAATGTGGCCTGTGTATTGAAAAATGTTTATCATTAGATTTAGAAGTGTTCTCATGTTAGGTTCATTAACAAGGTCAAATGCAAGTGTCATAAATTTAACTGAAAGGTGGGCCAAGGGAATACCTTAGAGTAATTATTAGAAGTGGTAACAAATAGAAGATCCTAACCTTTGAACTTAATAGCTTTAATGTTCTCACTTGGTCCTCCCAAGTTTATTCATTCTAGAACAGACTGAACAGATGAATAAATACAAATTCTTTAGTTCTAAATATCTATTTTTATATAAATAAAATTGTATTTAACTAGACAACTACCTAATAAATTGTCCAAAGTGTATCATTTAAATCAGTTGTGAACAGAACAAATAATGTAGATAGATGATGGAAGGAAACCAGTCTCGATAGTGGTAATTATTTCCTTAGGGTTTTCTGAAAGAATTGTACAAGGTCCCCTCTCTAATTCCCTATATTTTTTCTGGAATAATTTTTATATAATCTTTTGAAACTAGTTGAATATAAAGTTATTCAGTTTATGGTAATTTTTAAGCTACTGCTACATTGTAGCAAAGACCCATGCAATTATTTTATAAACTACTTAGGATATCTTTATAAATGATACAACATCATCCCACAGTATTCTGTAAAATGAATGCAGCTGCTGTTGCTTTCTAGACAGCTGTTTATATAGTCCACAGTAATTTTTCCTGCCATTTATTTGAATTGTCTTATTTCTTAGTTGTACACATAAGCCTTATTTATCTGGAATAAGTAATCAAATAAACTTGCTTTGATAAATAGGTGATGGTTGAGTGATAATTGAGAGTAACTCAAAAGTACCAGAAGTCTTCATAGTTTTTCCAACAACCAATTAGCTAGGTAATGTTATTTACTAACTTTCTAATATGGCAAAGGTCAGACTATTTGCCTTACCCAGAATTTCTCATTAAACATTTAATAGCAAGTAGTAACAGCAGTTTATATACCTGGCTCTTAAGTTTAAAGAAGTCTCAATGTCCTTTTAGATTATCTGACCACACTTTTCATGAATAGGTCACTTGAGGCATCTGTGTCAAATATTACAGGAAAAATCCTGTCAACTTTGTGGTCAGCCTAAGCCAATCAGAAACTTAATGGCTGGACACAGGTGCATTTAGCAATCAAGCCTAGGGTAATATTCCTAGAAGCACAGAGCCTGTTACATTATTATACCTCTTGGTAGCACATGCTGTCATCCTAGCTATGATAAGCAAAAAATAGGATTATGGTCCAGCTACTGCCCAGGGCAGGAAGCAATACCCTACCTCACAAAATAAAAGTGTGCAATGAAATTAAGAACAGTATTAAAGTGTTTGCATTTTACTGTTTAATCTTTCAGTTCTTTGTAAATTCAAGATATTAATCTGTCAGATATCTAGCAAGTATTTTCTCCCATTCTATCAGCTGTGTCCACTCTGTTGACTGTTTGCTTTTGTTGTGCAGAAGCAGAATACAGTTGCATTTTTCAATTCTTGCTCTTCCTGAACAATTGAAGAATCCTGTTGAAATTCTTGCCTAGCATTGATCAAGTGTTTCCCTTAAGTTTTTCTCTAGCTTCAAACGTTTCAGGTCTTAAATTATGGACTTACACCAATTTTGAGTTGATTTTTGTATATGATAGGAGATAGAGATCTAATTTGTTTTCTACACATGGCTACCCATTTTTCCTACCACTTGTATGCTTTTGTTCTCTTTGTTAAGAATCAAGTGGCAATACCTACTTGGGCTTATTTCTATCTTCTGTTTCTTTGGTCTGCAAGTCTTGGTTTTATGCTGGTACCATATTGATTTTATTACTGTAGTATATGCTCGTGTAGTACAGTTCTGTCATTTGGTAGCATATTTAAAAATTAAGTATTATGATATTGCCAGCATTGTTCTTCTAAGCCGGTAAAAAATGTAACTGCAGTATACCACGTGACTCAACCATGTATGTTCACATAGTCTTTTTTTTTTTTCTTTTGCCAGTCCTGGGGCTTGAACTCAGAGCCTGCACACTGTCCCTGAGCTGCTTTTTGCTCAAGGTTAGCACTCTTAACACTTGAGCAACAGCACCACTTCTGGTTTTTTCTGTTTATGTGGTACTGAGGAACCAAACCCAGGGCTTAATGCATGCTAGGGAAGCACTCTACCACTAAACCACGTTCCCAGCTCCTCACATAATCTTAATGTAAGAGAATATTGAGCTAACAAAAAATTATAGCTGTTCAGAAGGATTCCAGAGTGAGGGAAGATAGAGTAAAAGAGTGAAATCTTGTCTTCAGAGGTAAAAAGCAGAAACCGCATAAAACTGAGAAATCTAGAATCATTTTTTTTTTGGGGGGGGGCAGTGGGGGGTGTCAATCATGGAGTTGAACTCGGGGCCTGAGTGCTGTCCTTGAGCTCTTTTGCTCAAAGCTAGTGCTCTACCACTTTGAGCCACAGCACCACTTCCAGTTTTCTGGTAGTTAATTGGAGATAAGGGTCTCATACTCTTTCCTGCCCCAGCTGGCTTTGAACTGCAATACAGATCTCAGCCTCCTGAGTAGCTAGGATTACAGGAGTGAGCCACCAGTGCCTAGTGAAACAGATTCTGATAAGCATATTTAGATTGTATAAGTGATATTGGACATGATGGGCACACCTGTAAGCCCAACATATAAGAGGAGGAGGAGGCAAGAGGATCAAGAGTTAAAGGCCATCCTGGGCTACATATTAAGAGACTGCAAGAAAAGGAGGGAGGGAAGGAAGGGAAAAAAGAAAAAAGTTATATAAGTGAATAATAGGGGGAAAGTTTTTTACATATTTAGAATGTTTACCTCTAGGGAGCAGAAATCAAGATTGTGGAAGAAGGAAGTGAAAGATGACTTCCAAAAAATAGGTATTGTTATACTAGGAAGATACCTTGGCTATATTTCACCACTTGTGAGATCCTGGGCAAGTTGCTTGCTCTCCTTGGGTTCTTTGTAACATATCTATATGATGGCACTAGCTATACCTGTTTAGTAGGAGAGGCAGCATAACGGAGTTTGAGTCTCTGCAGTCATGCTGCCTAGGCTCAAATTCCATCCCTGCAACTTACTTGTTGACTGAGGAGCCATAGAAGTTACTTAATCTCCCAGAACCTATCTCAAAGTCACTTGGATTAAAGGAAGTAAACCAGTGGTGCCAGTTTCTTACAGACATTAAAAATAGCCTTTTGCACTTCTGAGTACCATTTTGTGTCTATGGCCACTTGTCAGGTGATATAAATGGCAATGGGATATTTCTTTAGTCCTAAAATCAAAACAACCATGCTGTGGTTCTTCCTAATACAACTCACTGGTTTACCTAGTTATTTTATGGCAACCAAAGTGTCCTGGACAGTAAATTGAAATGAGCAAAATTAGTTGCAAGTCAAAACAGAGATACTAATTAGCAGTATATCCACATAGCTCCCCAAGAAAGCTGCTTCTGACTAGTAAGTTAGCTTCTGTCCTAAAACTGATGGTTTGAACAAAAATAATTTCTGCTTGATGCATGAACCATGCTCTACTCAGACCTGAAAATTAACTTGTCAAAATGGTCCACAAATGTTATCATATAGATGAATAGCAGCGTTTGTATTTGTGTGTGTATGTGTGTGTGTGTGTGTGTGTGTGTGTGTGCTGGTATTCTGTGGGTTTTTTGTTGTTGTTTTGTGGTTAATTGGAGATAAGAGTCTCAAAGACTTTCCTGTCCAGGCTGGTTTTGAACCTCGTGAACCTCAGATCTCAGCATCCTACCACCCTCAGATGTCTAATGTATACAAGAGAGACCAATAATAAAGTATAATCACTCAAAATACACTAACAAATACTACCGTGCCAAGAGCTAGGCTCATGGAAGAAGCATTCTGTAAATGATTGTGATTGGCCCCGCAATCTAAAACCATGCTTCTTTTATGTATTCGTTGTTTTCCTAACATTATATAAACATTATTAAACATTTTGTTTATACTTATATTTGAGTAATGTTAGCTCTTTATGGGTCAACTTATTATTCTTGTTAAATGTTTACAAATAACTCTAGGGACTGGCTCAGTGTCGCTCAGGATCGTTCGCTGGTAGTCTTTGCTTAGCACATATAAGGTTTTGGGTCTTTGGCCCCTAGCATTGCAAAATAAAATAGAAACAAGCAAAAAAGAGGTAACCCAAAAATTCCTGGCTTATAGTAGAATTCAATCAATCTGGGTGGCATGTTATGAACTTGCATATGCCATGTGCTATGTGTGGTACTTGACTCATGTGCACATCTCCTTTCTTAGAAATATATCATTAGAGTAAGGACACCAGTGTGTCTCATAGCCAGACTTAGATCTCCACCTCCCTGCTCAATGATATAAAGATATATGGCCTTTGCATTACCACCAAGTCCTTCTCAAGTACACTTCAGAACAGTTTATTTGGAGAAATGTGTAGGATTCATTGAGTTCTTATGAAATTTCACTTAACTGTTCTTCATCTACTTAAAGATAAAACAAGTGAGGCTGAGATGAGAAAGCTCAGTAGCAAGCCTTTCTGTGCCATCCCAAGACTTGAGTTTAGTGTCATCCCACTGGATTGTAGTAGACAATGTAAACAGACATCCTGATTACAGATCCAACAAGATCTGTAAACACCCACCAGAGTAAAGAGCTACAGGAATGATTTATAGTCACCCATACTAGTTGCACCTGTACCTCACTCCTCCCATCTCTCCTAGGGATTAGCATGGTCCTAAGTCACTTCTTATTAGGAATTAACAGCAGTTCAAAGGCTTGTAAGTACAGGTTCTTTCCAAATAGATTCTTGAAACACAAGAAGTCAAACACCAGAAAAGAGGGGATTTCTGAAAGCCACCCACTTGGATAGCAACTGGTACTTGGTAGTTTCAAATATTAAGAGAAAAAAATCACCCTTGGTTAGGCAGTATCTAATCTCCTTGAACACAGGAAGTGAAGGCGATCAAGTCTGATTTGAAGGAGGGCCTGAGGTTGCACAAAGAAGTCACTCCCTAGCAAGGCCCACTCATTGCCTTCAGAGATGCCTGTTTTGCCTGCCTCCCGCTGAGCACCCCAGAGGGAAAGCACCATTAAATTCCCTGTGACATCTTCAACCAATGTCACCAGGTGATGGAAGGGTGAGACCAGTTTGACAAGGTTATGCTGTTGAGGGCCACTGGGATGCAGTAGCCATGAGGCTATTCATTCCATGTGTGTTGATCACGCCCCTGAGGTCACTGCGCATTGAGCTAGGCACACAAACCACAAATGAGAACCTTGTCCCTACTCTGAAATACCCTTTCTCTAGTAGAATATTGGCTAACAAGCCATCTAGATTAGGCTCTGCTGTTGTCAGCAGAACACAAAGGGTGCTAGAAAAAGATAATAAGATTGAATGTTGGAAGATCACTGAGTTTTACAGATAAAAGATGGAGAGGGTGGAAGAGTAGATAGTAGTATAGAGAAAACTACTACTGCAAAGAATGGAGGATCTGGAAATTGGATGTTACAATAAGTCTGTGTGGAGGTATTATGTGTATTTGGGTGGCAATCTAAGCAGTTTCATTTCTCATGGATAGCAGAGGAAGACATAGAGGCAGAGAGATGATGAGAAGGCCCAGCCGTGGTCCAGCTAAGAGATGAGAAAGAAAGAAAAAAAAGCAGCATGAAGAAACAATGTTTCAAGAGGTTTTGGAGGTAGACAGGACCAAGTAGAATTTGGCCGGGGAGGAAGGGGCACGCAAGGGGCACGCGCGGAGAGTGGAGGATCATGCATACCTTTCTTGGTTGAAAGGCAGATCGTATTGTCACTATTCAACTCAGAACACCAGGGGAGGCTGACAGGAGATGGTCCTGACTTCAGATTCCGAGGTTTTCCTCAAGTCTACCACGTGGAGATGCACAGAGGCCAAGAGAAATGCCCATATGAAGCTCCAGCTGTAAACTGAAATTGCACAGCAGTCCAGTCAACTTTACAAATCACTGTTAGGAATCTGGCTTTATAGCCCCATGAGAGGGGCTGTCAGGCTGGAGGAACTCTCCAACCAACTGTACTCTCCTGCCTACAGCAGACTGCCTACAGCTTACCTGATGTGCAGCCTTGCCCTTCAGGCTCTCCTTTAAAGTCTCTTGTGGTCTTGTGCTCAGTACCCTGCCAGGTCTTGCCTGGTGAGCTGTTCTACAGAGCAAATTCCCTTGGAGCAGATCCAAAGCCACAGTTCCCAATCAGCTGTATCATTAAGTAATTTTTTAAAATCTCTGTGAGCCTCTTACAGACTCATGAGACAGAAAAACTCACTGCCAAGCTCTTCAGAAAATTAGTTTGTGCTGCTCTAAACTCTACAAGTTGG